GCTTCAACTATTGCACATGAATTTATTTGGTCTAGTCAATGTGCAATCTATAGCTGGAAAAAATATACACTCGTTATTGTTGACAAGTTTTCCAGGAGTGATCATGACACTGAATTCAAAAACAATACCATTGGTGACGTCTTTGTGAAGAAGAGAATCTCACATAATTTCTCAGCTGTGAGAACTCCACAAAGAATGGGGTCGCTGAAAGGAGAAATCGAATGATTATCAAAGCCGCTCGATCAATGCTCAGTGAATCTCGTCTCCCTACTCAATTTTGGGTTGAAGATATCAGGACTACTTGTTTTACTCAGAACCGATTACTAATCGTCAAGAGATTCAAGAAGACAGCTTATGAACTCTTCCATAGCAAAAAGCCTTCTCTCAGCTTTCTACATATCTTTGGTTGTAGTTGCAATATCCAAAACAATAGATGCCAACTCGGAAAGTTCGATCCCAAAGCTGATGAATGAATCTTTCTTGGATATTTTTCAGTGTCCAAAGCCTTTAAAGTTTCAACAAAAGATGATAGATAATAGAGGAATCTATTCATGTCACATTTGATGAGTCTCAATCAACTAAATCTAAACCCATCTTTGAAGATGATGAAGAGTTAGATAACTGGATGATTTCTTACTATGGAGAACCTGAAGCTTCCTTCAGCAATCAACGGAATGCCGACTTCCCAGAAGCTGACGATGATCCATTTATTGTTCTAGATGTGACTAGCAACAGAGTTGAATCCTCTTTAGAGATTTCTGCTGTTCCCATTGGTCACTTATCCCCTCCTATTTCAAATATTGACCCTTCAGTCGCTGAATCTCCTTCAGTCACTGAACCTCTATCAGTTGTTGTATCTCTCTCTAAGGCTCCTTTAGTAATCCAACCTACTACTGAAGACTCTGTTGCTGATTCCTCATCTTCTATGCCTAAGCTCCCAATCTTAGAAGGTTATCTTCAACTAGCTCAGCAATGGCGAAAGACCATCCAATCCATCAAATTCTTAGTGATCCAATTGTAGGTATTCAGACATGTCACGATCTAGGTAATATATATTTCTTTGTTAACTTTCTTTCTCTAGTTGAGCCTAAGAAAGTCAATGAGGCTATCACTGGCCCAAGCTAGGTCCCTGTTATGCAAGAAGAACTCATTGAGTTTGATAGAAATAGAGTCTGGTACCTTGTCCCGTATCTATCTGACAAAACTGTGATAGGCACCAAGTGGGTTTATCACAATAAGTTAGATGAACAAGAAACTGTAACCCGAAACAAGGCTTTCCTTTTTCCTCAGGGATACATGCAAGAAGAAGAAATAGATTATGACGAAACCTTCACACTAGTGGCTAGACTCGAAGCTATTCGACTCTTCCTAGCATACGCTTCCCATAGAGACTTTAAATTATACCAAATGGATGTAAAGAACGCTTTTCTAAATAAAAAACTTCAGGAGGATGTTTATGTTGAACAACCTCTAGGGTTTCTTGCCCCCAAATATCCTAATCATGTCTATAGATTGGATAAATCTATTTATGGGTTATTATAGGACCCTCGTGCCTGATATGACACCCTTTCTTCATTTCTCATCTCTGAGAATTTTGTCCGTGGAAAGGTTGACCAGACCTTATTTCTTAGGAAAGTCAAGGGTCATATCATTCTAGTCCAAATTTATGTCGATGATTTATATCTGGTTCCACTAATCCCTCTTTGTGTCTGTGGTTCGCTGAACGCATGAAGGACAAAATATCAGATGAGCATGATGGGAGAACTGACTTACTTTCTAGGTCTTCAGATCAAATAATCAGATAAAAGGTATCTTAATCAATCAAAGTAAGTATGTCAGGGATATGTTGAAGAAATTCGAATTAACCAACAATTCATCTATGAAGACTCCAATGGATCCTTTTCTTTCGCTAAGCAAGGATCTAAATGGAAAGCATGTAAACGTTATTGTTTATAGAGCAATGATCGGCTCCCTGCTGTATCTCACAGCTAGCTGACCTGATATTATGTACTCTACTTGTTTATGTGCACGATATCAATCTGATCCTAAGGAATCCTATCTAAATTCTGTAAAACGCATATTCAGATATTTGATGAGAATTCCTAATATGGGCCTGACTCAGGTTTCGACATAATTGGTTATGCAAATAGTGATCAACTGTTGAGGCTAAATATGTTGCTGCTAGAAGCTTCTGTGCCCAAATCCTTTGGATGAAAAACCAACTCAACGATTATGATCTCCAGCTCTCAAAGATCCCTATCTATTGTGATAGCACTAGTGTTGTTGCAATTGCAAACAATCATGCTCTTCACTCCAAGACCAAACATATTGAGATCAGATATCATTTTATCAGAGATCATCTTATGAATGGTAATATTGAATTTCACTTCGTACCCACTGAGTACCAACTTGCTGACCTTTTTACAAAGACTCTTGATGAGACAAGATTTAACATCTTAATCAGCGAACTTAGAATGTTGAACGCTGAGGATTAATTACTTTAGCTTTAAGCAACACTCAGTGATACACAAGTGAAATGATTCAGTGTTATTATTATACCACTGAACTCTTGAGTAAATATATATTTCTCTCTAAGGTATGTATACTTATCTTCTTTTCTAAAATCTCGAAACCATCATTGAATCTTGTCTTATTTGCTAATCAAAATGTTTCAAAAGAGATGTTTCAGTTATTCCTTTTATCACTGAACTCTTGAGTAAGTATATCTTTATGGTATATCTAATTATCTTTTCTTAAAACAAAACTATTGCTGAATCTTTCCTTGTTCAGTGATTAAAATGTTTTAAAAGGTGAAATGATTTATTGTTTCTCTATCACTTAAAATCTTCAGCAAATGTATCTTACTTTTAAGATATGTTTTTCTTTTATTAACTTAAAGCTATCACTAAACTTTCTTATTCAGTGATCATTGTGTTTTAAAGAATCTTAAAATTATCACTGAATAATATTATTAAATTCAATAATATTCGATATTTGGTTCATTTTGAAGGTATTGAAGAGACGAATATAATGGTATAATTTATAAATGAATAAAAATAAACGTTGTTAAAAATATTTTTGTTAATGTATAGTTACATATGTTAATATGAGAAGGTGTAAAACGAAAAATAGGAAAAGAAGAGATATATAGTAAATTAAATAATTAATTATAAATGTGTAAAATTAATTTTATTTTTAATTATCATGTTAAACATGGAGGTTGTAAATGTTAAAATTGTACATAATGTATCAAAACTTATACCTCGTAAAATTTAATAATAACCGTTTAACATGTTTTTTAGTAT